AACCTTAAAAATAGTAGTTGACTTAAGCCTAAAAATAAAAGACAATGTGAGCTTTAATAAAGTCTGGGTTAACTTTACCTTAAAGTTTAGTGTTAATTTGAGTTTTAAAAAATCTGAGCTAACTTAAGCCTAAACTAGCTTGAGTATTAGGTGAAGATGTTAGGTTTAAAAAAACAAAAGAGTATTTGGGGGCCAGAAGCATCCAATTAAAGACATTTGCAGTTGTATTATGGGAAGCCAAAATATCTCTGTTGCTTTAATTTTTAGCTTTATTTTCTAAATCTAACAAGTCCTCCTACTTAATAACTAGAGTGCCCTTTTACAATGGAGAGGTTATTATGGTGAAGTATTGCTGCCCACTAATGCTGATTATTCACTATTATTATGCTCAGAGTTGCTTGAATTAAACCTTCCATTTTTAGCAAAATAAAAAATCTCCTTTTCTATTCCAAAAAATGTTTCAATAACTGCACAGATGAAGGCTTGAAGGGGAAAAATGTGAAAATAGTATCTGAATACTTCATAATGCATTTCAAAATTTGAAAAACCAATCATTGCTTTTTGGATTTTTACAGCAGATAGTTCGTTTAAAACAAGCAACCTTCGTCACTGAGAACACAAAGATAAAACTCACTCAGTCATCATCACCCTGAGAACTAACATCCTCTGCATTTTCCAACTTTTAAAATTAAATAGTTTGTTACTTATCTTATCAGGACTTAATTAAAATGCTAAAAGAGGATTTCTGTCCAGTGTTCAGTAAAACTCTGTGCACCTCCAGGAGACTCCTTAAACCAAGTAGTCGGTGTCGTTCATCAGATAACCTGCTTCGATTGAATCCGTCACCCACGTGTCGCTGACGATCTTAAACTTCTTCCTAAAGCAGCGCCTCAGAGTCCTTAAATCCAGAAGTCTGCTTTCCTCTGCGATGACGACATGCGAAACTCCTTCCTCCAACTTCTGCACCACCGTCCCTCCGTGGTAGCGGACCTCCAGCGCCCTGATGTCCAGACAGGAGGCAGCTATGGCACTTGTAGGATCTCCTATGTCGGCGAAGTTGTCCATGTAGACGGTGAAGGGTCTAAACATGCTGGTGGGAAGATCGCTCCAGCTGTAGCGCTCCTCCACCTGCCCGACGTTCACGGCCGCCGCTGCGTCCTCGCTGCCGATCCGGCCGAACACCTCCCGCAGCTGCTGCTCGTCCGTGTCCACGAAGAAGCTGTCGCCGAAGCTGTCGTACTCCTTGGCGAAGTGCTCCCTGGTGGAGGGCGACATGTGGATCATGTGGCGGGGTTGCCATGGAACCACTTCCTTCTGGTCCAGGCACTCCAGCAGCCAGGTGGCCCAAACGATGTCGTGCTGGTTGGATGAAATCAGGTTCTTCACACGCATGTTCTCCACGCCAGCGATCACGCAGTAGGTGTCCCGTCCTGGGTTCTGAACAATGATACCTCCACACCTAACGGGAACACGACATCGGCAATCACTCGTTTGTCAAAGGCTACGTTAACACACATCTCTGGGACATTAAAGAAGGAATAACACAAAGAAAACCATGTTGTTTCCTCAAAATGCAATCATCATTTTGCTGCCACAGTCGTACTTGGTCTGTTCAACAGTTTATGGTTACAAATGCTAGCTAAAATTAGCAACATTCTCCAACAGTTTCCATTCATTCTATGGAACATTTTAGCATCTTTTAGCTTCCTGTTTTGGTTTTCCAGCCTGTGACTTTAGCTGGTGACCAAGCCAGAGCTAAATTATTGGATGTATGCTCACCAGGAGGCCAGAAACATTATATGAAATAAATGTTGCTTTGTGTCTGCTAGACATGTATATCCGCCAAAAGATGACAATGCTAGGTTCACAGCTTGTTTCCACTGTCCTCAAGTTGCCCTCATTCTAATGTCTAAATCAACAACAGCTACTGTTTAACCTACAACACCAAATTATCTTTTATTTTGTAACCAAAAAGCTGTTTCTAAGAGATGTCATGTTACCTGGCCACGCCCTTTTCCAGCTCAGACTTGGGGTGATCCTCGGTGCCATTCAGGATGCAGAACTCCACGTCCTCAAACATATCCGTCTCTTTGGTAACCCCGGAGAGGTCCTGAGGCTTGAAGTGGTCGATGACCCCGACCACCCTCTTGGGTTTGGCTGGCAGCTTGCGCTTCTTCTTCTGCGGTTCGTCGCCGTCGATGTGGAGGTGCCGCGAGGCGAGTTTCCCAGACGCCTTGCTGCGGAACTGATCCAGCTCTGCCAGGGTCATGCACTGGTGCCAATCCTTGTCGTCTCGGATCTTCTCGATGCGGGGGAAGCGCAGGGTGCAGTTGGTCTTGTACATGTCGCTTCCCACTATCTCTGCAGCCTTGACTTGGATGATGACGGAGTTGCAGGGTTCGATGTAGACTTCCGGTTTCTCTGTTCCACACAGGATGGATGCCGGTGGGTCGTTTTTGCGGTAGACCTTCCAGTGCTTGGCGAGCTTTAAACCGAGGTCATACAGCTCTTTCATGGTGTAGCCGGAGCCAATGCGGCAGAGAGTGTGGAAAACTGAAGGCTTCTCGCCAGGCTTTGGAGCTTCAGCAACAGCACATAAGAAATGGGACATCATCCCACCACGTCTCCCTTTCCCCCAGTAGCCGCCAACAATCAGCAGGTCGAGCTCGTCCATCAAGCCGTCCATATATTCGGGCTTTATCTTCAGCCATCCTTCGCCCCGCTTGTCAGGCTTGTAGATAGATGAAGGATCCTTCACCATGATGCCCTCCTCTCTGTTGTCAATAGCATCATTGAGGGCGTTCACCACCTCCTGCATGGTTCTGGCTTCGGTCTTTGGCACCACATGTATCCGTCCCTTGACTGGGGTGAAAACTGTCTGAAGGTTCTCGTAGCGTTTCTTCAGCGTTTCCTTGCCGAGCTTCTGGCCGTTGATCAACAGCACGTCGAACACGCAGAAGCACGTCTGTAACTCGGAGTCGTCCATCAGCCTCTTGATGTCGAACTTGCTCCCTTTCTGCATGAAGGTCTCCGCCGTCGGGTTGTACGCCATCATCTCACCGTCCAGGATGCAGCTCACGACGTTGCTTTTAAAGACGTTGTGAATGTACGGCGTCAGTGATCCCTCCAGTGGCGATCCTCCAAACGACTGCGTGTAGTCATGAGCATTTCGGCTGAAGTACTTGTACACATCCCCGTCCTTGTGCAGCTGAATGCGCTCCCCGTCCAGTTTGGTCTCGATGTAAAAAGCACTGTTGCCCATCTGCTTCTCCACGTTGCGGATGTTAGCCACAGCTGCCAACATCGGCTTAAAGGCAGAGAAAAGCCCAATAGAGACTTCACTTAAGGACACGGAGGGGTTGTGGAGCTGCTGGCACACCTTGTTCAGGTCAGTGTTGACATTGTAGAGCTCAGCAGCGTCTGGGTGGAAGACTTGGAGGACGGTTTCCTTGCTGATCCCGAGCTTCATGTCCTTCAGAATCATCCTGATGAGCCACTTTTGCTCAAGAGCTGAGCTCTGGGTGATGAGATGCAGCAGACTCTTTTTCACAAGATCCTTCTTCTTGCCAGCGTTGTTGATGGCCACCGAGTCCAGGAAGTCGTTGACCTCTTTGATGCTGAGGTTTCCTTGGCTGGTGCATCGTTTCTTTAGCACAAAGTATGCCATGCCAGCAAAGTCTCCAGCTTCTCCTTGGGATGTGGTCGGCGCGCGATAGTTCAGTAGTTTGTTGGCCTCTGGGCCATTCTTTGGGAGGCCTAACACATCAATGTAGAGCTTAGCCAGCATGCTCTCTTTGATGCCATACGCCATTCGTTCTCGCTCAAAAGAGGGAACTATGAGGCGCATGGAAGGATAGAAGGAGTCTGTAGTTTTGAGGTTTTCTTTGTGGAGGGCTGAATGAAAATTCCGCCACGACTCAATAAAATCTCGAAGGATCTTTGATTTTTCTGGACGGACTTTGGCCCTCTGGATTTTCTCTAAAGTGTTGCACAAGTGAATGAAAGGAACCTGAGCAGCGACAGATGGCTGAGCTGCAGCATCAGGTTTGGACGTTCCCTCCATGATCAAATCTGTGACACACGACAGATAAAAACCAGCCCGTTAGTTGACTTCACTGTTAGACTAAAGCTCCTTCTTTCCAATGAATCACATTTAAATGAATCGAAGGAGAAACACTGAAACACAACTTTGACAATTAATGAATCAATAACTTTTCTAATTTGCGTTGCACCAGCTTCAGATACGTCTTAAAACTTTTCTTTATTTGGTGTCGTAAAAAGCTGAGCATCTATTTTTTAACTGTTCGTTAGACAAAACAATCTGAAGATGTCAAATTTATAATATGAACATCAGCTACTGGCACTGTTAGTGCTGAATTAGAATTAGAATAATGTTCTGTTGAGAAATATCGAATTTGTTTCTTATCATAACAATAATATAAACAGTCAGTGGCAAAACAACTTTTTCTAATTGATGAAATCACCAAGACAAAATCCTTCTTGACATCGCAATAAGCAAACTGTGTCACTTCCTGTTGCCAGTGCGCTGTGCTCAGTTTTCAGATTCCTCTTTGCTCCCGTGATGACATTAACGCCCGATCTAAGTCTTCACACTGTTCCTGCTAAATGCGCGAAGGCTCTGGTGCAGGTAAGCGTTAGTTACTTCATAATGACTTTCCCAAAGTTCAGAGCGAAACTGGTGACATAAAAATGTGCTTCTCCTGCTCCCAATAAAGTTCACAAACCAAGTTTATGTGGATGATGCAGGGAAGAAATCTGCAAAGAAGTTTTACTCTCAGTGACGGTTGTTTGTATTTTTAGTCAAACGTCTGTATAGGATTTAAAGATGTTCATGGTGTTCCTTAGATTTGGTTGTTTACTCAGATGTTTAAACTTAAGAAATCCAAAGAAGTCCAACTTTAGTTGTATTTCAGTTTGTACGTTTGTGAGGGCTTTAAACAGTATAAAAAGGCGGAGACATCATGACAACACATTGCTTGGAAACATTTGCACTTTGATCAGGGTGGAGACTTGGATCAGGCCTCTATGTGTACAACAACAATTCAGGATTTTAATGCTTGTGCTGCTGAAGCGTCCAATTTACAAAGTATACCTGCTGTTTTTAGATTTAACTTAAACAGCGATTAAGGAGCTACTCTATACCAACAACTGACTTGTACTTAGTGGTAGAATTGATCAGGAAAATTAAGATTAATTCATTAGTTTTGCCGCTACAGGACGACAACCACGGTCTTTTTCAAAACAACCAGTGGGAGTTGGAATAATTTAAAACTACTCAGAACCTAAAACTGGTTCAGCTGCAGGTTGTTGGTTCTCACACAAGTGTTCAATGCGAACAGAACTACTGTTGGCTTTCTACTCTTTACACTTATATTGCTGTGTTTTACTTCGATTTTGCTCTTGTTTTTTTGTTGTACTTATTATTTACGAGGCTTTTTTCTTATATAACCAGGACCTGAGGACTAATTTAGTTCCACAACATGTGAATGTGAGCTGACATGACAAATAAAGTTTCACTGAATCCTTGAACCACAGACCTCAACACGTCCTGACAAGTCCAGCAGCTGACACACAACCAGGAAGACGAGCTAATAAAACAAGCTGGCAGTTTTTGTGTTTAAACAATTATATTTTGTTATATTACATCATATTAGTACCTTAAATTGCACCTTAAAATGATTTAAAGCTACAAATCGTACTTTTAAAACAACTAACTCGTGTTTATTTTTGACTGTTTCCGTTTTAAAATGACGTTCAGTTTATTCAGACATGCATATTCGCATAAATTACCAACATTTACGAACAAAACTTTAATATTAAGAGTCGCTTTGTGTTTCTAACGGCAGCTGGTCTTTTAGTAATAATAATACTCAGCTCACGTAAAGCAAAACGTTCCTGAATTCAGCGTCAAAGTCCGTATTATTTCATTTCAGCGCAATTTTATTCACATAACTATCAAAAATATAAAGAAATATTATATTTACCTGTTATTGTGTTCCTTCTATCCTCCAAAGTAAAGATAATAACTACCAAACTGCTCCCAGACGCCTACATGTTGACGCTTCCTGGAATTTCATGTAGGTCCTTCAAGGAAAACGGTCCCCCCTGAAACAGGAGCGGAACTTTGGTTCCTCCACCGCGTTGTTCATCTGAAGTGAAGTTTATCTCAGTGTTGTGCTGCTTTTGTTTTTGGGATTTAATGCAGTAAAATGTGCAGATTTTTTCATTTCATGCCAGTACAAATATTAATCTTAATATAGTTTAAATGTTGATATCCAGTCAGAGATAATTCAGACATAATTTTCATACAAATAGAGAGTAAAATAAAATGTAAAATGTGGAGTAAAATGTCCTCATGAACGTTGTTTTCAATGAAGGACTCACTGAGGAACTGAAGGAATGGAGCATAAATCAATAAAAGCAATGAGGAAACAGCAGAAGGAGGATACGTCCAAAAACCAGACTATCAAAATAAGACAATAATAGAAAATTGAAGTGATTAAAGAAAAGTAAAGCAGACTGAAAAAGATGAATACACAATTGAATAATATATTTTTTACAATAATTGATTAAAAGCCAGCCTATAAAGGTACATCTTGCGTTTGCTTTTAAACACATGATCCCTCTCTGCTGCCCTCAGGTCTTCAGGGAGGCTCTTCCAGAGATGCGGACCATCATAATAACTCCAGGATGTCTTGCTGTGGGTTTCGTTCTGTTCGGTTTAATTAAAATGTCGTTACCAGAAGACCTGAGGGCTGCAGGAGGTTCACCGGATAACAGCAAATCTGACAAACAAGTCAAACAACAACCAGTAAGAGTTTAATAAACCAATAAAAAGAAATTAAAATCATTTCTGAAGCAGGCAGGCAGCAGTGTAGAGACTTTAAAACTGGTGTAAGGTACTCATGTCGTTTTTTGAAGCAGTTGTAGTTGAGATATGTCAGATATCAGTCGCACTCTGGTGAGGTTCTTCAGTGTGAGGCTCAAACTAAGACCTGAGTGAACGATCGCTCTGAGGTTTGTCATTGTTTACATGGATTTAATGCCGCTGCTGCAGCTTCACTCTGAGTTTCAGCACTTTGGTTCTCATGAAGCTGCAGAAAACCTCCTGCCGTTCACGGTGTCCCCAGCAGAGGACGCCAGTGAGCTGCTGCAGCCATGAGGTTGTTTACCACCCCGGGTCTGGAGCCAGTTCAGGCTGCTAGTGAAAGATAAGAAGGCATTTGTTGGCCACAAGAAGGCGTTTCTCTTCACTAGAATCATTATGCAAGACGTTTACGGATCAGAGTCTGGTGGCAGCAGGTTGTATGGTAACCTGAGAGTGAAGAGTGATGGTGATGATTTCAGTCTTCATCTCTCTGTCTTCACGTGTGCTTCCTCCACGTGCTGTGTTTGGGTGGGAAAGTGCAGTTTCAGGTGCACTCTGACTGAACATAATATGGCATTTAAAGGCCTTTATGCTAATAAAACAGGCACATTTATGTTCCTCTAAAGCAGCTGTCATTTCAAACGGACAGAGGTGGCATCTCATATGTGTATATTATTAATTAGAAATAGTTCTGTCGTGTTTCCATGCGACTGATTTGGTCATTTAAGGCCACGGAAACTATTTGCCGCCTGCTCCTCTCTGGATAGCAGCTTAGCCACTTTAAGCTGTGTTTCCATCACAAACTTGTTTTGACTCCATCAGGTGGCGGCTGGTGGATTTCCAAGTACGAGCAGTCACTTGTAAAGTAACGCGAAATCATTCCAGCGACGTCTTGCTCCCGATCAAAAGCATTCGAGGATTCCACCAAACGCATTCCTTCGCCCACGCGGGCCGGGCCAAACAAACACGGTGCCCGACGCTCAGTTCTCATCAACGTGAGGGTGGAATCTGTCGGCCGTCGTGTCTCATGAGGGATGTTTTTTGGTGCAGTTTAGTGATTTACTTGCAGCTTGAGGGCGTGTGAGCAGGACCGTGGACGTCCTCCAGGCTCAGAGGTGATGTTCTGACCTCCACCTCCGACCTGAGCGTGGGAGGAGGGATCTCCTCTACGGAGACCAACGCATCTGACTGGGAGTTTATCTCAATGTTTAAACACACACAAAGATAAACTTATATTTTATTCATGAAGGCCTCGGGTCACACCGACATATGATGTGTGGCTGAAACAAACCTGAATAATAAAAGACCAACACACACATAATGTTAAAGTGCATTTATATTTTAGACAAATAAAATGTTTTCCTCTGGAAGAACTTTAAATTATAAATAAAGTTTTTAAAAGAACTGAAAAAGGGGAACAAATGAGCAACAGACACATTGATGTAAAGGTCACACATCACTTGTTATAATCAGATGTTTTCATAAATAATCCATTTAATAAATTCTTCTCAATAAGCAAAATAAGAGAATTTAGTAAGTTCTAAACACCACAGGTTACATTTAACCGCCCACAATCACAGAGATAGCAGCGTGTACAGAGATAGTCTTCAGTAGATATGATCTGTATCAGGTTTGGGACAAAACATCATCACACCGGCATCAGATATTCACGTTTTGTTTTTTTAAATTAAAACACGAGGCACACGAACCAGTTTGACCTCCAGAGGTACGACTTCATGATGGTGGATGAAGGTAAAGGAAAGAAGAAGAAACTCCATCCATCCATCATCTCTACACCTTAATCCTCACCAGGGTCATGAGGGGCTGGAGTCTATCCCAGCTGACTCAGGGTGGAGGCAGGTTCACCTGGACAGGTAACCAGTCTATCACAGGGCTACACTTAGAGACAGACAACCAAGCACACTCACATTCACACCTACAGACAATTTAGAATCACCAATTAACCTCAGCATGTTTCTGGACTGTGGTAGGAAGCCGTAGAACCCGGAGAGAACCCACGCTGCACGGGTAGAACATGGAGACTCCACCAGGTGTCCTCACCGGGACACGAGCCGGCGTCCTTCTAGCTGTGAGGCGACGATGCTAACCACCGAGTCACCAGGTTTACATGATATAAGATGCATAGATCCTGACATGTTGTAGGCTCCCTTTGATTCTTGTTTTAAGTTTTATGGGAAAATGTCAAAGATTTTATTTTGAAAAGCCAACTTTAATGTCTATTCTGCCAAATGGACCAGACACAGACGGGATTGAAATGCTGTTTCTCTCAGACCACGGTGCAAACAAAGTAGGAAAAAGACAACAAGAAACAAGACACTAAGAAGGAAGCAGTGTAGTAAAATCCTGCCTGGCTGGGTGCAGGTAGATATTTACAGATGACAGTAGAGACAGTGAAAGATATCGTAACTGGTGCAAAGAAAATCTTTTCATGTGCAGCTAAATAACAAGACAGCATGACATGTTATGGACATTGGGGTCTTTATGCAGCTCTGTGTAGTTTAAATGTTATTATATAACGACTGGCAAAGCATGCAGCTCATCTTGCCTCATCTTACAAAGTATATAGAAGTGATCTCTTTCTTCTTTTTTTTTTTTTTATCAGTGACACGACACCCGTGGGATGTACTGCTCAACCACAAAGTCACACTTCCCCAAATGACATCTTTCTCTTTGCATCTCGAGCGTCTTCCTCCCCGTTGTTTCCCAGTTCGACATCCATCCAGTAATCTACGTTATTTTAAACCGAGTCGACAAATTCAAACCAGCTGAGCGACGCGAACAAGACGAGAGGACTCGAGGTCCTGACAGGCTGCGGCTAAATCCCTGATCTCCGACCACCGACATGTTCTGGGATACCCTGACGCAGCCTCTCGTTCTGGCTCATGTCCACCGTCTCTCCAGAGGATTAGAGACGGTGAGTGGGCAGAATGGAGGCAGTATTCCCAGATAACCCCGAGTCTCCTCACACTGCACGAGACACACCTGCTGACATGCAGCCCTCAGTTCCTGCATTAAATACAGGAGCCGACCACTGATGAAGATTAGCCTGAATTTTTAATGTCTTGGGATCTATTAAAGTCATATTTTTCTGTATGTCCCCCTTTTTTTTTTAAACAAAGGCAACTCTAAGTGCTTCACACAATGAATTAAACATTAATACACAAATGGAATAAAAAAATATTTAAAGTTAATTAATACGACCAATTGAGCACGGTCAAAAATCTAGTTTTTACCCAAAAGCAATAACAGCGCCATAACCTGAAATGTGCAGCATCAACAACAACAACAACAACAACAATAACAATAACAATAATAATAAAAATACATTTTAATAAAAAGCATTTTTCATTTAAAAGAAATCTCAAAGTGCTACAGGCATGCAAAAAAAATAAAAAAATCAAACACCCCTTATGCATGGTTGTTTGTAATGTAGAATATTTCTTTGTCTTTTAAAATAATCTTTTCTTTGTGAACTTTAAAGCATTTTTTTGTAATTATTTATCTCTGACTGATGTACTTTACTGTTTGAATTTCATGGGACATGTACAATAACAAAGATATAATAATAAAAACAATTATTATTGTTGTTATTAAATTATGAATATATTAATAAAATATTTTTATTAAATTATTCGTAGTAGTAGTATTTTTAAAAATTATTATTGTTACATGAAAAAGAGTTGGTCCCATGTGATATAGATTTTTTTTCTTTGCATTTTTTTCTTTTATTATCTATTTTTTAAGCACAAACATAAGATCAGCACTAACAGTCCACACGTCAAGCAAAAACACTTGATTTTGCTCCGATAAATAAAACTGGTCTCGGCTGTACTTTGGCTTCATCAGCAGCCCTTGTTTGGCGTTTGTCCTTCGCTTCCTGCTGCCAGCAGGAGGCGCCACGAGCCTGTGCAGGATGAGCCGAACAGCTCTGAGTCACAGCCAGCCAGAGTTGTTTACTTCTCTGCTGCTGCTGCTGCTGCAGTGGAGGACGCTGGGATATGTGTGGAGGGAGGAGGAGGAGGAGGGCCTGCTGGAGCTACTATGTGCTCCAGCAGTGAACCCTCTGTTTTGCCTTCACACACAACGCAGTGCAGCGGAGAGGAAAGCTGGCGGCGTGCGCTCAGCCTGCGTACAGTATGTGCATGCACCTGCGCTCCTCAGGCTGATGCTGCAGCACAACAAG